CTGCTGGGGGTTTATGCAGCAGCACCCTGTGTGTTAAGGGTCACACAGGTGTGGGTTGCAGGGGCATCACACAGTGTCGGATAGTCTTCATTCCTCTGGGGTCTCACAGTCTTCACTCCTGTGGAGTTCCACGGTAGGTGGCTGGCTGTTGTTCTTCCCGGGTCTCTTCCAGGCCCCTCTCGTGGTGGAACCCCGTCTGGCAGCAGCGTTCTCACCCTTTCCAATTTTGAACCATGTAGCGTTCCCTTGCTCTGTTCTGACAAATGCCTCCTGGTCCAAGTACATGTTTCGCCTAAGTACAATCGAATGTTCTGTGATTCCCATTCTTCTCAGAGTCATAATGAGGTTAGAGAATTTATTTATAAAATGTTGGTGATTAGAGAAGCAAGTTTTGCTTGTCTACATGATAAACTCCTTACATTTTCAGACATCGCCTTGTCGAAGGGCTAGTGAAAAAGGTATACTGGTTTAAAATAGAGTAGGTCTCTGCTCATTGCCTGCTAAAGCTGTGACCTAGTAGGTCATAGAGTAAAACAAAAAGCAGCCAATCACTGAATAAGGTACCAAACAGGTTCTTACTCTTAGCCATTATTTAAAAAAATATTGTTCTGAACACATGGTCTGTAACAGTCTGTATACTAGATCCTGAGCAAGAAGGATGGGTTAAGACATGGTCTTGGGCTTTAGCACAGAACTCAGGATATTGTTTTAGTCAACACTGGAAAGGAAAAATCCTTTATTAACTTAAAGGTGGGTGAAGCAGTGCCAATCTCTAAGCAAATGAAAAACCAAATAAACCCATCCAGACGGGCTTTCTCTTCTGCAGAACTCAGTAGTTTACTTTCTTACAAGAGAGACGTTCTTCTCTACTGAGTCAGACTTTGTGTATTTGCTTCTACTGGGGCTGAATTAATTAGTAGGAGCACAACGAGAAAAAAAAAAAAACCAGATACGTGTGGGAACACTAGAACCTAAACCTGATTTATAATGATCTCATAATCCTTGGGGAGTTCTGGTGGTTTAGTGGTGGGGAGTGGTGCACATCAATCCCAAGGGCATGTGGTTTGAATTCACCACCCCCATCTCCCCACCATTTACCGCATCTGAAAACCCCCTAGAGTGACAGCTGCGACTGGTTTATGACTTGAAAGTCCTTAACTATAGTAGTTAAGAGATTCTGGCATCTAAGTCATTGTGTTGCTAACCCAAAGGCAGATCGGGATCCACATGAGGCTCTGAGAAAGGCAAACTCCAGTGTGATCTACAGCCTCTGAAAACCCACTATCGGATCAGCTATAAGTCAATTCTGACTCCAGAGCACAGAAGTTAAGGCTTTTTGTTTGTTTTATAATCGCGAGCTATTTCTTCAAGACTTAAAGTTCTTATTTGTAACATGATCTGTAATCAGTAAGTGAACTCTCTACAGGAAACTCTCCCAAAGAAAGGCAGAAGATACAGGTTGAGACCTGAAGTGACAACTTTCCCATTCAGGACGTCAGCAAGCAATTTACACGCCCCCGGGTTTCCACGCCCTCACTCGGTAGGGAGTGCGCATGTGCCCTGGCCGGACCCTCTCGCCTTCCGTCGTTTCCTTTTCTACTGCGGCCCCGCCCACCGCCAGGGCCATCGTTTCCGGTTCAGCTCTGGCTGGGCAGGAGAGCGCTTAGCTCCTGGTTCTGTGGCCCGCCCACTGTTCTAGCGCTCCTCCTGCCTTCTTGGCTGGTGAGGAAGGAAGTAAAGTTTTTATGTTTCACAGGTACGCGGATCGCAGACTATCTTGTGTTCCCTTCCTCGCTGCCCGCAGTCGCGCTCGGCTAAAGGCAGCGAGCTTCAGGTCGTCATGGCCAGGGGCAGCCGCAGCCGGGCCGGTGTGAGGCGGCCTGTTGCTGCCCGCGCGCTTCCCTGGCCTCTGGGAACGCCAGTCCCCGCACTGGTCTGAACTGAGCCCCTTGGCGCCCGTGGGGCCCCTCGCGCCAGGTTACATGGCCTCCCAGGTGCCATCGCAGCCGTCCTCGCCTTCTTCGTCGCCACCCACCTCCCCGGAGCCCGAACTTGCCCAGCTTAGGCGGAAGGTGGAGAAGTTGGAACGCGAGCTGCGGAGCTGCAAGCGGCAGGTGCAAGAGATCGAGAGGCTGCTGCATCACACGGAGCGGCTGTACCAGAGCGCCGAGAGCAACAACCAGGAGCTCCGCACTCAGGTGCCCGCCGCCGGTCCCTGTCCCTGGCGAGGCCTCTCGCCTTTTGGGCAGAGTTACAGAACTACTACATAAACCACTTGAACATTTTTTTAAAAATTGTATTTTAATAGCTTAATGCGATAATTTGCTAATGCCAGGTACTTTGGGGGAGCAAACCCAAGAATTTGCATTACTCGTTTTGAGCTGCAGTTCTGGCTGCCATGAATTGAGTTTAAGTATTTTGGTTGGATGATGCTCATTCTCACGTGTAACTTCCCATTGGTAGAAGGTTCATTTGTGCATTTTTTCCCCTAGATAGTTTTTGAGTTTGTTAAAGTGCCAGCCAACCTCTCCCAACTCGCTGGACGAATGAGAGGTGATGAAGATGATTGATTCATTGCGATGGAGTAAGAATCAACCCATAATTGATGCTTCAGGGGATTTTCAGAATTCTGTAAGGCCCATGGGAGGAGATTGACCATCCTCCTCCTCCCTAGCAGCTGGTGGATTCGAACTATGGTTGCGTTGGCAGCGCAACTCCCTACCACTAGGCCACCAGTATGACGGGTACTGAGCCTCACTTGCCCGTACAGGGGGGATAATGTTACCCCAAATTTGTGAAGATTAAATGTGAAACTCATCCACAAAACCTTGAAAGTTTAACAAGTGTAGGGCGGCTAACTGGGCATTTATCATCGTGTACTTTCTAGTGGAATTAGAAGATACATAACTGCCTTTGTAAAAGTCATTCAGCAACTTGATTTTGTCATCAAAATATGCAGTAAGAGCAAATACTTAACATGCCACTTAAAAAAAAAATTCTTTAAAATTCTTTGACCAGTACTTCGTTTTTAGAAACAAGAAAACCAGTACCAGTTTCCACGTGGAGGAGAGGCCAGATAAATCCACTAACCCAGCAGTGTAATTTTTCTCCCTGTCACCACAGAATCTTGCTACTTATTTTGTTGTTTTGCTTCTGTTTTCCAGCTTGATTTATTGGGCATTTGCACTCTTTGGGCATAGGACTTAGAGCTAGTTTCACCTGATTGAATGGAAATTAAGCTATTGCCTAGCCCATCATAACTTTTGGTGCATTTCCTAAAATCACATAAATAGGCAAAGGACTAACAAGATTTGCTGTTCTTTCTTATCAAAAGAACTATGCCTTGAGATATCCATCATAAGAATTATCTTTAACTTTGTTTTTGTCTACCATCGACTCGGAATCAATGCATAGCTGACCCTGCGATGGGTTTTTAGAGGCATTTAATTCAATGGAAGGAGATTGCCCATAGATTTGAACCACAGGCCTTTGACATTTCAGTGCACCTTCTTGCCACTATGCTACCAGAACTCTCTATTAACATTATAACCCAGAAATACTTTTTCTTTACTAACAACAAAAGGAGGCTTGGTGGAAAAGTGGTTAAGGATTGACATTAACATGAAAATAGGTGGTTCAACTATAACAGCTATTTCCTGGGAGAAAGATTTAGTTATTTATTCCATAAAACATTATAGCTTCATAGAAAACTTACTGGGTAGTTCTATTCTGTCCTTCCTATAGGGCTGCTATGAGTTGGGATCTATGAAATTGTAGCATTTATTTATTTTTAAGACTCTTGGATGTTTAAAAGAGCTAGTAAGGACTATGCTAGGGGGGAAAATCAGAAATGGTTAACGTAATTGCAAGGAAGGATGGGAAATATGGGACTTTAGGAAGAACAACAACACCCTTTATAGTTTACGTTGTTAAAAAAAGATTTGCTGTAATCAAAACCCCCATTGCTTTCACGTCAGTCTGACTCAGTGACTACAGATGCCAAAAACAAACATATTTAAATTGCAGTGGCTGAGAAATCTTGATTTGGGTGCTAACAGTGACAGTGACATTGGGCTCGAGCATGTTGTAGATCTGAGCCTGGCACAGAGTCAGGCACAATTCCAAATTGTTGCACATAGGTTTGCTGTGGGTTGTAGTTAACTCGACAGCACCACGGCGTTTGGTCCCTTTTTCCTTGGGCCAGATTGGGTAGGGTATTAACTATAAACAGAAATTCAGTAATTCTGTTTATCTGGAACAGTAAAAAGCTTAATAATTAAGAATGAACTAGTGGAAAAATACTACTTAAACTTTGGAATGAGAAGCCTCATGCAAGAAAATTTTTCATCTGATCATTTGCTATCTGTTGTTGGTTGCCATGGAGTTAATTCTGACTCCATTTTCCTTGTGGAATGGGAATTTAGACATTCTGAGAGTGTGGGCTTCATATTTCGGCACCCTTGGGCCCTTGCTTGCCTCAACCTTAATCTACTACTAGTTTGCAGAGTATCTGGTTCTCATAAAATGCCTAGGTAATCTACTTATCACCTCCTTTTAAATTTATGTATCATTAAATAGTTCAAAAGTTATGTTTTTATTGATAGACTGAGATCCTGCTAGACTGAAATCTGTTGAGTAAGGCAGTTCTTCGTTCTTGCTCTGATCTATGTAGCATCCTTTTAGATTTTGAATGTAAGAGGCATATGGAAGAAAACAGTTACTTATTTTCTTCTGCTCCAGGAATACTTAGTCATAAGACTGCTATGTAAAGACAAATGAGCATTGATGTATTTAAATAGGTCTGGGCATGTTGTTAGGAGTCTGTTCATAGGAGAGGGACATCATGCTTGGAAAGGTGGAGTGTCAACAAAAGAAAGGAAGACCCTTGACCAGGTGTATTGACACAATGACTGCTACAATGGGCTCAAGTGTGTCAGAGATTGTGAGGATGGCACACGTTAGGGCAGGGTTCAGATTTGTTGTTCCTAGGGTTGCTGTGAGTTGAACAAATTAGTTAGTTGCTATGGCACCTAACTACAACAACATATTTAAGTGAATGTTTAATTCAAGATGTCTAATATTAAAAAATTCTACATGGATAGAAATGTATGTGTTTGTACTTTTTTTCTTTAAAGAGCAAGATTTTATAGCCTTGAACACCCCATGGGCACTTGCTTTAAGTGGTTTTTCTTGAGCTGACTTAAAAATATTCATATTTAGATAGTTACTTTTGTTGTTACAAATAAAAGATCCTGTTTTGAGAGGCTTATTACCTTTCAAATTTCTGTGGTAATATATAAAAGCTTAATAAAATTGTTTAGAAAGAAAAGTATCTACCTGTGTGTATTAGATATAAGAGATGATATATTTAGTTTTTGTGAAAAGGAAATTAACTGCTTTTAATGATTCTCTAATGCTTTTACCAAGAAATGTAAGTAATTATTGTAGCTTTAGAAGAATGGTATTATTAAATTGCATGTTATTTGTTTTTTTCTAAAACCTCACTTTCTTTCAGGTGGAAGAGCTCAGTAAAATACTCCACTGTGGACAGAATGAAGATAATAAAAAGTCTGATGTAGAAGTACAAACAGAGAATCACACTCCTTGGTCTATCTCAGGTATTTAGATTGTACTGGGGCTGTCCTGACTATTGTAAACTCAAATCATGACAATGTGGAGTTTTCTTTAAAGTGAACAGAGATAAGTATGAATACTATGACAATGCCAAATTCTGTTTGACTTGATAATTTCTAATAATCTCTGTTGGTAGAAGCTTGTGTGTCATTAAATTGGAACCAAATCAAGATGACCCTCCAGTGGTTTTCAGAGGCAGAGTAGAAGTTATTGCCATTTTTATAAGTATACAATGCTGCTAATGTACTTTCTGTAGAGTAATTGTTGCTTTGGATGATGGCTGCAACTGAGTCATCTGCTCTCATATCTGGCATTTCACATGATCACAGCACATGTTTCTCTTTGATGTGCCCTATTTATTATTGTGTTTAAGGGAACTCTTGAGGCCTTGTAAGAATTTGTGCCACCAACCCTAAGACAAGTGGTTCAAATCCACCTGCTGTTCCCTAGGAGAAAGAATGGCAGTCTCTTCCTGTGTGATTTAGCATCTGAAAACCTGTGAGAGTTTTCATGAGTCAGTTGCCACATGATTTCACATAACAATGACAACTTACTGTGTTTCATGCCAGTGTTTTTAGTCCCTTGTGAGAATGGTGAACCCATGACTTGACTTTGAGGTGAAAAACATACTGAATGAAACAATGTGTCAAAAGAAGTGGTCTTTCCCTATAATTTAGCTAAATTGCTAATCACAGAAATAGTATTAGAATTAACTATCTGTACAGTATAAGGTATTTCTAAAAAACTCAATTTTTATGAAGGAAAATGATGGGAAAACCCCCAGCTATCTTTATTTCATTGTCAGTTAATAAGCAACAATACTGAGATGTGGTTAGAAGAATTTAAAGCAATGCTTTTTGTGTGTTTTGTTGGGTTTATTTTACATTATTTACTGACTTTTTACTTTCGCTTTTGAAAATACAAATGTACTTTTATTTATTATTTTAAGGAGGATGGTTTCTCATGTTTTATTAACGGGTTTATATAAAATATTTAAGATAAATAAGTTATAATCCTCATCTTCTTCATCTTCTTCCTCTTCTTCCCAGTTCATCTGTAGGTAATGTAATTCATAACTTTCTTCACTGTTAGCAACTACATGCAACCAATCATGTTGATTTTATTCTTCTTCAAATATTTTTTGGTGAGGTATTTCAGATACCTTTTGAAAAAGGCTATAGTTACCTTGGTCGTCTTTCAGTGGTTACACTGAGATTACCAATTTTCCTGTTTGATTCTTTCTTAAAGAAACTGCTCAAAATTGGCAGCATCTTGGAGGTTTTATGTACAATCTGTCAGCTGTTTTAACACATACAAATTGGCAGAATTTTGACAAATAATAACAATTAACACACAAGTGACTGTGAATAAGCAAAAAACAACTTTTTAACTCTTGTCCCAAGAGATGAAGCTAGACTTCAAATTTATACAGAATATCTTTCACCTGAATAAACAGGCCAGAATAAAATCTGTATACCGTCACGAACAAGGATCAACTCCTCAGTTAAAATTATCATGCCTATATCCAACAATGTGTCCACCAAGTCTAACCTTCTGAAGAGAAAATTATTTGGACTTTGATATTTGGGATATTACTGAACATAATTTGAAAACAGACCCTCCAGGACTGAAACCTAACAATTTATTTCGGGTAAGGGATTTATTTTCTGAAAAGCAGCACATGGCATTTGTGAAAAAAAACCTCTTTTTGTGGGGTTGGCTAGGAAGGGAAGAGAGGTGTGGAGAGAAGCATAAAGTTTAGAGCATGCTTTTTCTTTGTTCTTTGTTAATCAATGCCATGCTGTAGTCCTCAGAAATAGAGGGATATCCCCAATCTTACACTAAAAAAAAAATTTGGCAGCATTGACTATTCTATCTTCCACTAGATGGTCAAAGGTGACCTTCAGAACCTGTTTCTTTTTTTTAACCCCTCTTTGCCACAGGCATTTTCACATGTCTTGTGGCAGCAGTGAAGACAGAGAATCTTTGCAAAATAGCTTGATACAGATGCTTTTCTTTATTTTATTACTATGTTTAACTTTGTTATTTAGGATAGTGAAGATGGTGTTAGAATTGACATATATATTTCTATAGATTTATCCACTAATTTTACTATTTTAAAGTATACAGTTGAGAAAATCATGATTTAATTTTCTTTCTTTTGGTAATATAGGCTGTTTTACATCTAATCTCTCGCTCTAGATCAAATTCCTTTTTATATTAAGAGTTCTAACATATTACCACTTGTGTCTATTGCAGAATATTATTATCAGACATACTATAAAGATGGTAGTCTTCTAGATAATGTGACTGAACTCCCAGTTCAACAAGGTCAGGATACTGAAGCTTCTGCATTTAATTCCGAAGACCAGCCGCAAGTAGAAAACCGTGCTTATACTGGCACTGATTTAACAGAAAATGTTAAATATAGACAAGATGACCAATTCCCTTCCAGATTACAGGTAATAAAATGTTGAACTTGAAATGACTGGTGCTGAAGAACTTGGATTTTATTTTTATCAAGTAGAAAAATAATATTTTGTCTTTCTGTTATGTTGAAAACGAGATTTTGGCACATCACAGCATACAATTTTAAATAACGGTTTTAAACACAGAATAATAATTTTTCAGAAACAGAAATTAGAATATGTTCATATGCATAATTGTTTTCTGTTTCTGTTGTGTTTCAGAAATGCATGATGTATATAGTCTAAAACAAAGACAATTTGTTATGTATGTAAGATATTTTAACTTAAAATTAACCAGTAAATTTTGGATAGTGTCCAAAGACAATATATATTCTTATGTAACATAAGATAGAATATTAAAATACACAAGTGAATATTTTCATTCACAATACCAGTTTCCATTAATGGAATCTCCTTTAGCATCTGTTATTTTGTGAATTGCTAATATAAATGGTTGTTGTTGTTGTTGTTATGTGCCGTCGAGTCGTTTCCGACTCATAGCGACCCTATGCACAACAGCCCTAAACCCTGCTCTATCCTGCGCCAACCGCACCGCCTCTGACACACCCATCCCGATTACCCCAGTCACCAAATCAATCCATCTCACAGAGGGTCTTCCCCTCCTGCATTGTCCCTCAACCCTCCCAAGCATGATGTCCCTCTCCAAGGACCCGTCCCTCCTGGCAACATGTCCAGAGTATGTCAGATGAAGCCCCAGAATCCTTGCCTCCAAGGAGTAGCTTGGTTTAATCCTCTCCAAGATGAATCTGTTTGTTTTCCTGGCAGTCCATGGTACATTCAGTACCCTTCTCCAGCACCACAGCTCAAAAGCATCCACTCTCCTTCTGTCCTCCCTAGTCATTGTCCAACTCTCTAAGTTGTCTATTATGTTAATTATGTTAAATGTTTGTTATGCACAATTTTAAGCATTTGCAGAAGTAGGCACAGTAAACAATATAATGAACCTACATATGTCTATCAATTTGTGACCAGTATTATTAATTGATACCTCCAAAGGGAGCTCTGGTCACCTAGTGGTAAGAATCTGCACTGTAATCCCAAAGGTATGCAGTTCAGATCCGCCAGCCACTCCGCAGAAGGATGGATAATCTCCTATGCCATTTCAGCCTCTGAAAACTTGCTGGAAGGCCAACTATGGGTTGGTTCTAACTCCATGGTACACAGCATCAACAGCTGGTGGCTAGTGGTAAGGAACTCACTATCAATACAATGCACTGCAGTTCAAATCCAGCAGCTGTTCCACTGAGTAAGGATAAAGATGGGCTGGACAGTCTCCTGCCTTGCAATTAACTGCCTCTGAAAACTCAGTCGACAGTCAGCTATGTGTTGGTTCTGACTTAGCATTACAAAACAACAGCACATTTTCAACATCCTCATTTTGTTTTTAAGCATATCCTAAGAATCCTATGACACAGTGACAATCATAGTGAGCTTGGGTGTGACAGACATTCTATGAGGATGGGCAGGATAGGGCAAAGTTCAGATCTGTTTGTTGTTCATGGGTGGCTATTAGTCGACTTGATGGCTCCTAGTAATAAGCATCATCCTGTAAGTATGTAGGATTTCATTATGTATGTTAAAAATA